TACCTCTTTAACCATTGTGAGGTTGCACAAGGCCAGTTTAGGTTTACATTTCATGTGTGCTTGTTTGAGAATGGATCCCTTTGACTTGTGGACCTTGTTTTGCACCTTTGAAATGAGAGTGTACACAAGAAAGGAAATGTAAACGTAAGGTGGTATGATATGGAATTGAAAACTTTTTCGATATGCCATGAGGCAAAAGGAGAGAATTTCTCTTTGGTGAGCATGTGTGGACCTCTTCTCTCAATAAAAAAGGCATGGATTATGTAAAGATGTAGAATGGTCAATTTTGAAAAGCTAAAAAAGACTAAGGTATCCTTGAAATCGAGAGGGAAAAGAAGAGGGTAAGGCCGCCTCGTAGGAACCGAACAACTATCGTATCCTTCACAAATAATGCATTAAAAATGTATGAAGGATACAAGGCTTTGTATCCCAATAGTTTGTTTGAAGTTGATGTTCTAGAGGTGAGAAGAAAAGAGAGATCTCGCTAAGAAAAAATGCAAGGAGTGGCTCATGTCATACCTTCACCTTGATTTAAATGGGTCTTTGGGGCCAGTTGGGGCAAAGCCTAGTGGTATTATGTACATTGGTCCCATTCGTTGGTGCAATCTTGGGAATTCCCATGAGTGAGGAGGATTGAATCGTCCTATGTTGTGTGCTTGATAGTTTGATTGAGAGGTACCATTTGAAAAAATCGAGTGATCTTTTGGGTTTTTGGTCTCTTGAATTTTGATCCCCTTTGCATGACTTATTTACATAGCTATTTGAGGGGTATGATTGCTTTGATTTGCTTTTGGCACTTATGTTTGCTTGATTTTGCTTTGTCTTTCTTGAGGGAAAGAAAGGTTTAAAGTGTAACACCCCGTGTTATAGCCTTCAATCCCGGATTAATTATTTAATTAATTCCGTTAATAATAATTAAAAAGGATTTAATTCGGTTAGAATCCCCTTTAATTAATTAATGTGGTCCACCATGGATCGTGGACCCTTGCCTAAACCAGAGTCTTAAGCCTATTAGAAATAAAGAGAGTAAACCTTTTACTAGTCAGATTCTAATTAGGAATCCTAGCCCTATTTATCTACTAGGAATGAAGGAAGTAAGCCTTTACTATTCAGATTATGATTAGGTTACCTGATGCTATAAATAGGGGATTAGAAAGCATTAGAACCCTTACCACCATAGTTATATTACACAAAAAGTATTCCCAAGGGGTTCCCCGCCACCAAGCCTGGGGAGGTCGATCAGATGGAAATTTTAGGGAAGAACCTTAATAGCCAAGGGAGGATTATTTAAGGCTAAGAGGTAACCCATGTCTCAACAAAACCTATTTTCCTTGCTATAATCTTCTTCTTTGGGCTCCTTCTATATGCTCGTGTCTTGATAAAATCTCTTATGGTATTTATGTTATGATCTTGATGATTGATGAGATGATTTTATGTGTGATCTTGATGATGATAAGGGGATCTTGATGATTGTGTGATGATCTTGATAAATCTTGATGTTTCTTGATATTAAAGATGAACTATGATTTTGATGATTTAAATATGATTAGAGCCCTAGGTTAAATTGGGAATTTTATATTATGATATTCTTGATATATTTGGGTGGGAATTCGCATGTTCGGGTGTTGATTATGTTTAGAAGTTATGTTAGGATGTGTTCAAGGTGATTCTTGGATTTTGATCCGTTATTTGACTACGTGATGTCGTCGTTTGTCTTTAAAAGTGTCTAAGTACGGTTTCGGGTTCCACAAAAGATCCCGGGACCCAAGTATGGAGAAAGGAGTCAGTGGGGGGGTAGGGGACCCGCCACCTACCCGCTGCCCGAATTAACACTGCCGGCTACTCGCCGGGCACCCGCTGCCCGGAGGTTCATCGTCGGCGGGCAGCCGGCAGGTGGTCCTCCACCCGCCGCCCACCCGCTGGATTTTTCCCACTTTGGGACTTTGGCTTCTCCGTTTGATGTTCCCCAACCCCCGTGGTGTCCCAATGGACTCCGTTTGTCGTGCATGTGTCTAGTTTGATGTTTCGGGTACCATTCTTAGGATAAAAGTGTCTCGTGTATTGCATGCTAGTTGAATCAGTAACCCGTTGGCCTAGGAAGAAGATGTATGAACCCCTTAGGACCATTCTTAGTATGTGGATAACTACGCATAAGTTTTATTTATGCGTTTTTCCCCTCCCTATGTGTTAATGTGTGTTGCATGTGCTTGCTACGTGATATATGTGCATGACTCTTGGCTGCGGTCAAACTGGTTACTCATGAACTGCGGTTCATTATCCTGGCTGCAGTCAACGACTCACTTCTAAGGATGCGGTCCACCTCATGGGCCTCGTGTGCTGTGGTCCACCGACTAGACGTGTCAGGCGGTGTGTAGGGCTACTAGCCACGAGGAAGGCCATAGTCCACCGAATGAGTTCATTAGGTGGTGTGTAGGGCTATTGTCGGCTGCAATCCACCGAGTGTGTGTGCCAGCAGTGTGTAGGGTCGTAGTCCCAAAGATCATAGCCCATCGAATGGATCCCTCAGGCGGTGTGTAGGGCTATGATCAGCTACGACCTACCGATTGAGCTCGTTAAGCGGTGTGTAGGGTCGCAGTCCCCAAAAGAGGATCACAGTCCACCGACTGAACGCGTCAGCGGTGTGTAGGGCTGTGATCCGCCGTTGAAACTATCGACGGTCTATACAATTGGCTGCGGTCAATTCCTTCATGCTGCGGTATGAGGTAGGGTGCTGCGGGGCCGTGTTAGCGCTATATGCGGTAACCCTCATGTTTGGGGCATGCGATTGGTCCCGTGGCGCCACCATAGTGTGCTTATGTGATAAAGATATTGACTGAAAGATGATATAAATGATATGGAATTAACTTGTGACCTTAGGATATATGATGATGCCTTTATATGTTTGATTATAACTGTGAATGTGCTTGTCCCTACTTGTCGAGTCTATTCCTGGTTTTAAAGCTAGAGTCTCCTAAGCATATATCTTCCTGCTTCAAAATGGTTTTCCTATGTCTATATATATATATACCTATATTGTATTTGAACGCGTTGGAGTGGGTTACCAACATCATTCGCTGAACAGATATATTTGGCTTTCAGGCACAGATGATTAGCCACCGGAGCGCGCTAGAGGACCTCGGCTTAGATAGTTAGTCTTTCCTTTCGGCCTGCGCGCCCTGAGGATGTAATGACAATGTTTAAAGAATAGTTAGTTAGAATAGCCTGTGCATCTGAGTTCTCCAGCTCAGATGTGGCATAACACCCAGACCTTATGTTTAGAATACACCATTTGGGATTTATTTATAGAATTGCTTTCATATTATAAGATTGAAAAGTTCTAAATTTCGGGGTGTTACAGATGGTATCAGAGCCTAAGTTCGACCCTAACACAATGCCTTTAGGATAAGACTTTAAGACATTAGGCTTGAACTTTAGAATGTTAAGCTTAAACTTTAGGTGTTTAAAAATAGGGATTTTAGGACGCGTGGTGAGATTGAGAGTCTATCGCTTTTTCTCACATACTTGTTCTTCATTCCTTATGCTTGCCCTAAAAGTTGTGACATCCTTGCATACGATTACCTGCCTTGTTGCATATCACTCTTTGATTACCAACAATTGATTTTGTTTAAATATCATACTTGTTTATTTGCTTGAACATGAAAGTTGGATTATGTTCCTAATTGATTTGTTTATAAACCAAGTCAGACATTGCATAATAATTGCTTAACTATTTGATCAAACGTGCGTTATTTGGATATTCGTTATTTGATAAAGTATTTTGGAACTTGTAAATTTTATTCGGCATATAATAGCTCATTTTCCCTAAATCATAATCGACCAATTACTTTGATAATTAAACCACTAATAGCTCGATAAGTACTTACATAAGTTTGCATGAAGGAAAATTGTGGGAACATAGCTTTAGTTAAGAATGGGGAGGATAGGGTGTGTGATCCTTATGATATCTCATTGAATGTCTCCCGTGTCCCTTGTTAGTATCATAATAATGTGATTTCTTAAGATTTCCCATGCATTTAAATCTCTTTTATTGTTCATATGAGTGTGGAATTATTTGGACTTAAATCTGTGTCGGGACTTTCCCGAAGTGATTCCTTCTTCACAGTCACGTTCCAGTGGGGCCTTGGCAGGAGTTCGACCACCCACCACGTACCCACTGCCACGTTCCTGTGGGGACTTGACAGGCGGTCGACCGCCCACCTCGTGCCCACTGGTACGGTATGTTTTCTTGACTTCTCGTTTTATTGATCCATTGTGCATTTGTGTGTCTTCCTTGATACTTCTTATGTGTTTAACATGTAAATAACAATCTAATGCTTGAACATGAAAATCGAATTATCTTCCTAATTAATTTGTTTATAAGTTACATAGAACTTATAGGAACTAATCCTACTTCTAGAAATCTAAACCCTCTGGTACATTGCATATTAAGTTTTGACCCGAAAGACAATCTGAGTGAGACCGGGAGAAATCCGAGGAACCTAAACCCCAAATCTTCCACACAACAAAGATATGACTTAAACCTATGAATAACCCATACAATAGAATTAAAGAACCCTAAATACAAGCTCTAAACATGCATTATCACAAGATCATGCATCAATCACTCAAACACAGAAAGAATATCACAAAGAAGCTAATAATCATTCTTATCAAGTGAAAATAGGTTTTGTATAGAATGGGTTACCTCTTGTAGGTCAAGAACACCTTCTTCAACCTCAAAGCAAGACCAAAACTCATCTAGATCAACCTAGCACTTCACCTACCACTAGATTTTCTACAAACTCCCAAAACCCACAAGGTAGAAAAAAGATTTAGAGAGAAGATGGAGGAATCTTGTAAGGAAAATGTAGGGGATGATAGATCTTACCATTCCTAGCCTTGTAGTGTTGGAAAGTTGAAATTTTGGCTTGGGATTTCTTGAAGAACTTGTGAAGATCAACTTTAGGATTTCCTAGAGAGAATGATGAGTAGGGGGCAAGAAAGAGATGTAGAGAGAAGGGAATCCTGAATAATGATTTGGATTCCTTGGTTAGGGTAGGGTTTTTATGCTAGCATAGTGTGAAATGACCAAATGGGCCCCTTCCTCCCCAAACTAGTTAGGAGAAAGAAAAAGTCTAGGGTACAAGGGCTGAAACCCAAGGTACAACTCATTGACCAAATTAAAAGGATAAAGAATTTGGTCAACTAGGTCCTTCAACTAATTTCAAAGGGAAATTAGGATAAGAATTGTAAAGCCACAAGGAATTAATTCGGGTTTTAGGGAATGAAATTTCCGGAGTGTCACATCCTCTCCCCCTAACAATAAGCTTCATCCCCGAAGCTTGGGCACAATGAGGTTATACAAAAGGCTAACGGTTTGAACAACATGTGACAAGATTGGTAAAGAATGGCAAACAAGAGATTTTAAGCACAAAGGTGTCCACCAACTAACCAAAGCTAGAGAAATCAAGGTTTCAAATTAAGGTGATAAGATTGATAGGCTTAGAAATAGGCTAAGGGTTCACAAAGGTATGTCAAGAAAGAAAGATAAGGTAATAGATAGAAGATTTAGCGGAAGGGAAACTGATTCTACCTTAAACTTAACTCGCTGCTTATTACTAACTACCGATCTACCCAGATCTAGACGTCTTAGCTAAGGCACAACCTACAACTAAAACTGACACCAAGATGACTCTAAAGCTAGATTACCCGAGATTGAAGAACAAGGATAGCGCCTTCAACTGATCAACGCTGACTTCTTCAACCAAAGGAAGCAAGGTACTCACACTGCACAAATTGATCTCGGCATCCGCTTGAACTTGATCCGCCACTTCCAGACAAAGGCTACTACTGTCAGCTCCAAAACACGAGCAGGATGTCTTTCACCCTAGCTCTTGGGCTAACTTGATGCAGACTACCAACTTAACACTTGCATTAACACACAATCCACAACTCTCTACAAAGAAACGCTTGAAACTTCAAAACTTTCGGTTCGGATGAAAGGTCCAAAACAGGAACGATAACAAAGGAGAAAGGTAACTCAGGGGAAAGAAGGCTCGGAAGAACAGATGCGGTTCAAGGGAAAATATTAGAGTGAAGGTTTTAAGGTTTGGAAACTCGAAAATCACATTGGTTAAGAAGAGAAGAAAGTAAACAAGGCTACAACTTAGGAAGTCAAGGTTGTCACCTTGCACGAAAACCGCTAAAGAAGAAGGCACGTGTAACACCCCGTGTTACGACCCCTAAAACCATTTAATTAATTAATCAATAGCTCAAGAGAAGGAATAAATTATAATGATTAATTAGGGAAAAAGGCCCACCATAGTCCATGGGCCCTCATATATAAACCCAACCCCTAAACCCAATCCTTAGTTCCAAAAGGAATAGAATTAGCGAGCCTATAATATTAGTTCCTAATTAGGACTCCTAAATATATAAATAGGGGACTTAGGAGGCACCTAGAACTTCCCACAAGAATAACACCCCACCACCCCAAAAGAGCTCCAAGAATCCCCTTAGGAGAAATCAAGAAAGTAAGGAAGCTTAAAGAAAGATCCTTCATAGCCAAGGAATTAATTAAGGCTAAGAGGTAACCCATGTCTCAACAAAACCTATTTTCATAGTTATGATTCCCCCTTAGGGTTTCCCCCATATTATTGTGAATGGTGAGATCTGTTGATTATTATTGATGCTTGACGTGATGATCCCATGAGGGATCTTGATAATCTTGATATTGGGAGATTCTTGATAATTATGGTGTTCTTGATGATTATATGGAGTTCTTGATGATTATGTGTTGTTCTTGATAATTGTGTGATGCTCTTGATGGTTATGTGTTATTCTTACCGAATCTTGCAATTAGAAGACGAATCGTATCCTTGTTGATATAAAAGTGATTAGAACCCTAGGTTGTATCGCATGTTATGATTCTTGGATTGTGGGGTGGGGAAATCGCATGTTTGGGTGTTGATTTTGTCTAGAAAAGCATGATAGGTTATGTGCCGTTCGTTTCTCGTATTTGATCCGTTAATTGTCTACGTGTTGTCTACGTGTTCTCCGCAGTTACGAGAACAGTTCTACCCCAACCACCTGAAAGCCGCCATGTGCGAGGAATTTCTCAATCTAAGACAGGGAACGGCCCCGGTCTCAGAATACTACCAACGATTCTGCCGACTGGCTCGCCTCGCCCCCGAGCTAGTACCCACCGAAGGGATCAAAGTCAGGAAATTCCTAACAGGCCTTAAGACCGAACACCAGAGGGCCTTGGCCATCCAAGAACCGAAGACCCTCGGAGAGGCCTATGCCAAGGCATGTCAGCTACAACAGGTAGCGAACCCGCCTCCAGGGACGCAACTAGGGTATAAAAGGAAACCCGAAGGAAGTCGTCCAATTCTCGCCAAGGAACCTAAGAACCCCAAAACCGCCCCACTTGACCAAACCATCGCGCCGACTACCCGGGGAAGGATCCTCACCCTAAGCAAGGCCAGGATCGGAGATAGCAACATAGTCTCCGGAACCTTCCTAGTACACGCCACCCCAGCCATCATATTATTTGACTCAGGGGCTACCAACTCGTTTATAGCAACCGAGTTCGCCGCCCAGCTCGGCCTTAACGCCACCACCAAGGTCCGACTCCAAGTCAAGGTGGCCTCAGGCGAGATCATAAAATGTGATCGCATATACGAGCAGGTAATGATCACCATTCATGGAGTGGAATTTCCCAGTAACCTGATCCAGTTTCAATTAGAAGGGATGCAAGTAATCTTGGGCATGGATTGGCTAGGGAAATTCCAAGCGCAAATCCTGTGCGGAGAGCAGAAAGTGGTCCTACGAGGGCCAAACGGTAAGAGGGTGTCGTACCGCAGTGCCCGCCAGGATCCAGGGATCAAGCTGATAAACATGATGAAAATTAAGAAGTATCTGGGCCAAGGAAACGAGGCCTTCTTATGCTCAGTCGAAGACCTCAGCGCCAAAACACCCGAACCACAAGCCATCCCAGTGGTAAACGAGTTCACCGACGTCTTCCCAGACGAAATTCCCGGGGCACCCCCGGCCAGAGAAGTCAAGTTCACCATAGACCTCATACCGGGCGCCGCCCCGATCTCTAAACCACCCTACAGGCTAGCACCAAAGGAAATGAAGGAACTGAAAACGCAACTCCAAGAACTGCTAGATAAAGGTTACATCCGACCCAGCACCTCCCCATGGGGAGCACCGGTACTATTCGTTAAAAAGAAGGATGGGAGCATGCGCCTGTGCATCGACTACCGAGAACTCAACCAAGTTACTATAAAGAATAGGTACCCCCTTCCCCGAATAGATGACTTATTTGATCAACTCAAAGGGGCAGGGGTATTCTCAAAGATCGACCTAAGATCCGGGTATCACCAAATCCAAGTGGCCAAACCAGACATCCAGAAAACGGCCTTCCAAGAATTAAAGGATAAACTAACCACTGCACCCGTGCTAGCCATACCCTCCGGATCGGAAGGGTTTGAAGTCTACAGCGACGCATCCAAGAAGGGGTTAGGATGCGTACTAATGCAAAATGGCAAGGTAATAGCTTACGCATCCAGGCAACTCAAAACCCACGAAGAGAATTACCCCACCCATGACCTCGAGCTAGCCGCTATCGTATTCGCACTGAAAATCTGGAGGCACTACCTGTATGGGGTACAATGCAAGATCTACACCGACCATAAGAGCCTGAAGTACATCTTTACTCAAAAAGACCTAAACATGAGACAACGAAGATGGCTGGAACTCATAAAGGACTACGACCTAGACATTCAATACCACGAGGGAAAAGCCAACGTGGTGGCGGATGCCCTAAGCCGAAAGACGAATCATTCCCTTAACACCACGTGGGTCCTACCGGACCATCTGTACAGGGACTTCCAAAGGCTACACCTGGAAATAATAGAGCAGGGACAAACTCGCCCCAATGCCTATCTACTCAACACACAGGCCGTGCCCACCCTCTTCGAGGAAATCAAATCGGGACAACAACAGGACCCGGAACTAGATAAAATCCGCCACGACCTAACTCGAGGGAAAGAGGGCCCCTTCGAAGCACACCCAGACGGCAGCCTCCGCTACAAAGGGAGGTGGTGTGTACCCTCAACGCACCCCCACTTGAAACAGCGGATCTTGGAGGAAGGACACAACTCCCCTTACTCCGTCCACCCAGGCGGTGACAAATTATACCAAGACGTAAAGAAATCGTTTTGGTGGCCGAATATGAAAAAGGAAATCGCAGACTTTGTGGCCAAGTGTCTAAATTGCCAAAGGGTAAAAGCCGAACGATGCAAACCCAAGGGACTCGTACAACCCCTTGAAATACCACAAGGAAAATGGGATTCCATCTCCACGGACTTCGTCGGAGGGCTACCCCCAACGAAAACCGGTAAGGATAAAATCTGGGTCATAGTGGATCGACTAACCAAGACAGCGCGATTCATTGCCATGAAAGAAACATGGACGATGACGCAACTAGCCCAAGCTTACGTGAACCGGGTAGTGAAATACCACGGAGTTCCCCGAAACATTGTGTCCGACCAAGATTCCAGGTTCCTCTCGCAATTCTGGAAATCACTACAAGCGGCGTTGGGGACGCAACTAAAGCTAAGCACAGCCTTTCACCCCACCACAGACGGCCAAACCGAAAGAACCATCCAAACCCTCGAAGACATGCTAAGAGCCTGCACGCTCGACTTCCGAGGGACGTGGGAAGAACACCTAGACCTCATCGAGTTCTCGTACAACAACAGCTACCACGCGAGCATTCGCATGGCACCCTACGAAGCACTGTATGGTCAGAAATGTAGAACCCCATTATGTTGGGAAGATATGGTCAACCCGGTAACACTGGGCCCCCAATACCTACAAGACACCATAGCTAAGGTCAAACACATCCAGGAAAGGATGAAGGCCGCCCAAGACCGCCAGAAGTCTTACGCCGACCTAAAGAGGAAGCAAGTCGAATTCAACCTCGGGGACAAGGTCTGGCTAAG